TCATACAGTGGACTACCAGTAAAATTGATAAAAATTTGGGATCAAAAATTTGATTTGACACTTTGACCTGGCCATGTTTTGTTACATACCTTTCTATCAAAGTTATCTGACATTATCAAGATGAATTTGTTCTGACACAGTTTAACTTTTGAATTCTTGTCATAATTTATTACCATTTTCTAAACTATAGCGAATAAACTGTGATAATGTGAGAAATTTTGAAGGTGTCTGAATAAATTTTAGTTTGACTGTATACACATACATTTATATTTTCATTTAGAATTAAATTATGATTAAATTAAAATATTTCATAATTTAAATTATTTATAATTTGATACATATTAAATCAAATTAAATACACAAAACTGTCACTGTTTAATTATACCTATGCGTTGTATTTAATATCTTAAATGTAATGTATTTTGACCTTTTGATCAGTATTAGGATCATATGAGCAATAAAAGTCCTGATAGGAGCATGTTGGCAGATTATTTTCAGTGCACTATGATTTTGGACGCACTAATCCCGATCTTTGTTCGAGAATTTGTTTGAGCGAGGCTGATAACTCTGATATGTTTCTCTGTAGGTTATGGGACTCATAAGTCCAGCTGGAGTTTCTCATCAGACTCCGGCTGAGTTTTCTCTGTCGTCTCTCAGCGGTGCTCTGGATTCGGGTGGATCGGTCAGCAGCAGCTGCTCTCAGCGCATGGAGCCCCTGTCCAGTCTACCTGCCCTCTCCAACCTGCCCAGCCCACAGTCCTATGTCCCGGCCTCCTTCTACAGCATGGAGCACAGCGCCCCCTACCAGTACAACCAGTACGGGCAAAGTAAGGTCATTATTACTGTCAGACTACTTATTTGACTTATGTGCTTCTTGTTTGTGTCTTAGCAAGTCAGTTAGTGAGTCAGCGAGTCTTAGTCAGTGATGTGCACTTATATCTGGACTGCGTGTGTTTGATTGTGGCTTGCATCATTTGCTGATAGTACACTGTACCTGTCTTCTGTGCATCATTTTCTGTTCACTCTTTACCCTTTTTTCTCAATGAACATTGTAAAAAGGACCAAAATACAATTGAATAATTAAAAAAACTCAGTGTAGGTCACAAACCATAAATTAACTTTAACTGTCATTATTAAATTTTGCGCAAACTGTACCAAATATATATATATATATAAAATTAGTAATTATTATTATCATTATAGTTAAATATTAATAATAATTAGTGCTGTCAAACGATTAATATGCAGATTTATTTTCACAGTCTTCTTTGATCATATTTACCAAGGGTGCCAATAATTCTGACCACGACTGTACATGCATGTGTGTGTATTTATATATATACATAATAAATATACACATTACACACATATATTATGTAAACAAACCTTTTATTTTGGATGCGATTAATCACGATTAATCATTTGACAGCACTAATATTTACATTTAAAAAATAAGTAAATAAATACAATAAAATGTATATAGTAATTGTATTTTTTATTTTTTATTACATTTTGTTCTCAACATTTTAAACGCATAACAACATGAATCATAATTTCGGCATGAAAATCTTTGCACACAGTTTTTATTACCAAATTGTTCTTCATGTTGGGAAAGAAGTTCCTGTTGGGAGGACGTGTTTTACCCTTCTGTTTGCTTTTAATGATACATCTTGGAATCCTTAATTGAAAGAGGACAAATAAAGGCTGTTTTGTATGCAGCCATTTGCAACTCCGCCATGCAACTCTGGAGAAGCCTGCATCGAGATCATTTGCATAATGAAAGTGATTGTATGTGTCACAGAAAGAAGAGCCAGGCAATTGGAAAGGTGGTGATATGGGAGGGAATTTTAACACACCTCTCCGACAGAAAGAGAGCTGGGGCAAAAAGAATCTGAAAAAAAAGGGTAGAAGAAGGGTAGAAAAGTCATCTGGTGCATAAACAAAGATGTGTGCAAGACCCCTTTGGTGATCTGGGAGATGTATTATGCATTATGAATGCATAATCAAAATACTTTGTATATATGGCAAGAAATATGCCCAAGTTACACAAAAATGCTTTTGCTTATTATTCAACCACATCTTGAAGCGCTAATCATCTTTAATCAGTCGAAAGCATATCTTGTGCCAAAATGAGAATGTTGAAGTCATTCTAGAGTAACAAAACTAACTTTAGGTTATGCTCCCATCGTTTTCCTCATATGTAACACATTAAGCATGACGTTCCGCCCGGCAGGAGCCTGGCGAGATCTCTTCCAGCTGTTATCCTGTACTGTTTCCCAGCATGCCTCATTCTGATTTGCCTCAATTAGTTCAGCCTGGACATTCAGCTCAGACTGTAGGAATGCTGGTTCTGCGGCTCCTGAAATTAATGAGCCCATCTGAGGGGCCCTCCCAGAAGTCAAACCAGGCTCCAGCACTACCTACCGACCCCGGGGCTCCAACGCATCGACGAGGCCGCAGGCAAGGCTCATGGCTGGTCCCTTCAGGACCCTGCCGCGATGGCAAAGCATAATGTACTATAAAAAGAAATGTTCTTGCATTTTCAAGCTGCTTTTGAGAAGAGCTAGTTAGGCATCACAGTGATGGAAACCTCATCATTAGATTCGTATAAATATTTCAGTCACACTTTGTGTCGTGGGGAGATGCAAGCAGGAGGGCCGTTTCAGATGCTGCATCTTATCCCAACATGAGAAAGCATGCAGATGTCATTTGCATTTCTCTTCATGCACTGCTTGCGTCTGTGTCTAAACCATCTTACTCATCGTCTTCTTCTCGAAGGGCTGCATACATCTCCCTTTCTATCAGCCTGTCTTTTGCTTTGCTATTTCTTGAGAATGTCTGCCGTAGGCTCGGCTGGATGAGATTGAGGTGTCTGTCATTGATGCCTGAGGAAGGCAAGGGGGCACACGCTCTGGATCGGGCCCAGCTGAGGTGAGAGCACGTCTGGATGTGTGGCAGAAATCCCTGCAGCCAGTCTCTACTTTCTCTGAGCTGTCAGTGCTCCAGTTTGGTTGTCAAAATGGAAGATGTCAGGGTCACTGTGCTCAGAATCTTTCTGTTTTTGGAAGAAGTCGTATTTCAGTCTAGTGGCTCAGTTTATAGAATGGCTTTTTTAGGAAGATTGCACTTCTTACTGTCAAATAAATCCAGTGTCTTCAAACTTCAAATGCAAGTTAAATTTAGCTGGATTGCTAAATCTGTTCTTTTTCTATTTAAAGGATAGGGATAGTTCACTCTGTTGTCATCACTGTCGTTGTCATATTGTTCCATTCCATATGAAATTAAGCAGAATGTTCACGCTGCACTTTTCCATAGAGAATGTCCCAGTGTCAAAAAAGAAATCTATGTGACTTGTCCATGTGATACAGCATTATGTGAGAAACAGACTGAAATACTATACATAATAATAATAATAATAATAATAATAATTATTATTATTATTATTATTATTATTATTTGTTGTTGTTGTTGTTGTCATATTGTGATATATAATCAAAAAAATGTAGGCTAAATTGTGCAGCCCTACTGCAAACCTGTATTTTTTTAATACATACATACATACATACATAAATAAATATTTAAAAAATAAATGAATAAAATGTGTGAATATTTATTATTTTTGTCATTAAAATAAAATAAAATAAAAAATGTGGAAAAGAGCACCTGGGACATTCTGCATAATATCTAATTTTGTTTTCCTTAGAAAAAAGAAATCTTACAGGAAACGACATGAAGGTAAATAGTTTTGTAAATAGATTATTTTTTTTGGGGTAAAATGGCCCGTTCTTGTCAGTATTCAGCCCAGCCGTCGATACATTTAACTGTATTTTATGCACACCATTTCAGAAATGCTTAATTGTAGATATGTTGTTTCCACTGCATTGAACATAATATTTCACACAGGTGTTGAATATTTCAGAATGAATTTCAGTGAATTTCTCTAAAGAGGCACCTATTGCTATTCTTTAAAGTACCGTTTGTGCATCAATTCTTGTGTGACTAGAAACCCATAAAGGATCGCCGGTCTTTTTTGGAAGCTCGCACGACAATCCATACTCCTTTATGCGGTGTAATTGTGCAGATCTGAGAGCTCAAGTAATCATAATCAGTTATGGATCATTTTCAGCACAATGGCTGTTGTTTGTGAAGTTTTCCTCTATTTTGTCTCCAGCAGAACACAAGCGAGCGACAGCGAGCGACAGCGAGCTCAAGCTCATGTGATCCATTATACCATCTTTGTGGTTACTCTGTAAAGCTCTCTCTGCTGCATAGTCCTTCAGACTTTTTTATAAGATTACAGATGCTCAGAAATTAATTTGAGGGGTCAGTGCAGATCTATTTTCCAGTCAGACAGCAGCACCTGGAAACACTGCAGTCTTATCCATTACAGAAGAGAAACAGCCACCCTCAGACAGCTGAAAAGGAAACAAGCAGTGCGTGGAAGAAGATATGGCTAGTTTAGCCCCGGCCTGTTGCGATACTGGCCATGCAGGTCTCAGTAGGAGATAGCAGATCTGGAGATCTGAGGTCTATTTCACATCACCTGGCACCTTCTAGTTTACAGTCATAATTCCAGACCACAGTGTCCTGCTGAATACATGCGGCACGCTGTCAGATACTCGCGATTGAAATAACAGTCTTTGATGCGATGCCTAACAACCCGCTGCTATATCGGATCGCCCGTGCCACCTTTAGTTTAGGCTGCTTTGCTCAATGCCGAAATTGAAGTCAAGTGTTCGTTGCTCTTGGCACCTCTCGCTGCACTTTTTCCCATCAGCCAACACATCTTCGCTCATGCATACGAGACGGAACGGCCATCGCAGAGGCGTCTGGCTTTCGATTACATTATCGGTAGGGGGGTGAACTGAAGGAGGGGGTGCTTGTGTTGCATGTGGAAGCCTCCCAGAAAAAGAGATTATGTGCTAGAGTCGCCATATGCTCCTCTACCCCAGGTGACTACCGGCAAAACAGGAAGTGCCACCTTTTTAATAAGCTGCGTAATGCCTGCCAGCATTGTATCAGTCACCAGGGTATAACCGTCAACTGTGCGTGTCCGTTTCACTCGTCATTATTGAGTCGTTGTGTTGAGGAAAAGAACAGATTTCTTATTTTAGACCTCTGGTTTTGGCGAAGACTTTAAATGTGAATTTAAAATGGCTGTTTTATTTTCATTTGATGAGCAGCGGAAGCTTTTGTGCTTTTTTTCGGTGTCTAGTATCAGACTATTTTTAGAGTTGGTTGAGATTCATTATTGACATGCAAAGTTGAGGAAGATTTCAGTGAGGCTGATTGGGTGTGTGTGTGAGTTGGGATGAATAATTAAAAGATGATGTAATGCACTGACGGAGAGAGGGAAGGAAAAAAAATAAGATACAGAGTCAGTGTAGATCTGCACTGCAGGCAGCACCGTATGAGAACTCATTTCGCTAATGCTATCGGAACATGCGAGTTAAACGTACAAGCCGTTTTGTTTGACAGCAAGGCTTTTTGCAACTTATTTTGGGATTTGTCAGTCCTCACAAGACTGCTGTGTGTGTATAATGTGTGTGTGATGTCATACCTGAGTGCGGCTCTGCTCAGATTGTCCAGCTTCTTCTAAAAGCGTTTTATGTCTATTTCCTGAAAACACTCCATCTGTTTACCCATTTAATTAGTGACAGATGAATCAGATGATGCATTCTGCAGTTAATGTCATTCATTTGTGCGGAGAGCATTTGGCTATGCTGTTCCTATATGAAGTGCAGGAATGTGCAAAACGACTTGTTTTTGATACTGATTAGTCTCTAGTTTGCCTAGATGACTATTCGGTCCTAGAAATCACAAATTT